TAATTAGTATGGTTATGTAGGTATCAACATATATAGCAAAATAATTCAAAATAATTAAAGCTAATTGTAAAATGATCAAAAAAATTTATTAAATGATATTTAAATAATTTTCAAAAGATGATCAAACCTTTGTTAGAGTATATATGAATTATGATAAAAAAAAATCAAATTTGTTTTAAGGTTTATTGAAATATGATTAAAAAAAGGTTGAATTATTTTTCAATAATGATGAAACATTATTTAAATTATAATTAAACAATGATCAAACACTGCATGATTTTTATTTGAGACTTTGTCTTTGAGTATTGACCAAATAATTTTTGAAAAATGATTGAATTATCTTAAAAAAAAAAGTCATTAAACAATCTTTAAATGACAGTCAAATTGCGGTCGAACAACACTCAAAAAAGTTGAGAACCATCGCCGAGCATCTTTGAATAATGATCAAGTAATGACCAAATCATTTTTCAATAATAATCATATAATATTAAAACAACATTTAATGATAATCAAATAATAATTGAACAACCATCAACTTATATTTGACTACAATTGAGCTATATTTGACCATTATTCAATCATTTCTTTAAAAACAAACTAAAAATGTTTGCATCATCTTTAAATCATCTTATATTAGGATCAATCTATTTTCAATTATATTTTGATAATTACTTGGTCATCATTTGAATAACTTCCTAACAAATAATTTGTTATTCACCAGTGCTTTAGGCTTAAGGTATATGTAGTGATGTTTTAGATATAAAAATTTGAGTGCAACTATCACATTCAATCACAAATAATTCAAATGAGTAATATCATCAACATTTACAAGTACGTCACAGTTGTGAAATGTTTCCATAACAAGAACACAAACACACACACACACACACACACTGAGGAAGGGAGGGATCAAGGAGCTTTTATAATCTAAAGGCTGTGAAATTTCTCAATGATGGTTTTGATTAATTATTAAATAATAAATATTTTGTTATAAAAGAAGGCATATTTTTCCAATAAAATTAAAAATTGAAATGGTTGACCAATTTTACTTATTTCAGAGCATGCACAGTTAAACCAAATGAAATTAAGATTCTCCTATATTTAGAAAGAATTCTTAGTCAGAGAAGGACACAGACACTTAGACACACACACACACACACACTATATATATATATATATATATATATATATATATATATATATACATATATATAATTTCTCAATATTTGAGAACAATTACGTTATAACTCTACTTTAATATCATAAAAACACAATATAAATAATAAGGGACAACAATGTTGTTGTGGAAAATCTTAATAAAGGGAAAATCATGGGACTAACCCAATTAGAGCAATCTGCAATATATTTCAAATTACATAATTTCACTCTCCTCTTTATTTAAGAAAGATGGAGTTAAAGAGTTCTAAATGAGTTGCAAAGATAATATAATAATAAACTAAAAACGATAATTGGGATATAATGGTTATAAGATCATAGCTGGCCAACAACAACCTTCAAAGGTGGTTGGTAGTAAATATCAGTGGTCCTCGGCCTTAATTTTTCTCCAAGATTATGGATTTAAATCATAGATTTCTCCTTCATGTTAAAAATAGGGTATTATTTCTAAAAATTTGAGAAGGATATTTTGATAAATTTAGCCAAAATTCTAAAGTACTAAATTGGATTGTCTTTCTTAGTTTCTTTGATCATAATTTTTTTTTAGTATTTAAGCGTCATAAGGATTTTTTGTATGAATGATCATAGGTTTATTAGATTCCTGTTGAGTTACTTAATTTAGTTATAAGCATACCAAATTTGGATCTCATTAAGCTCTTCTATTAATGCTTCAAATGTTCTAATTACATTTCAAGTGCTTGATTTGGGCTCATTTAGACTTAGATTGGGCTGCATTTAGTGTTGTCAAATTCATCTCCTTTAGACATTTAGTTTAACTATAATTTGCTAAAATTGGCAAGCAAATGAACATACATTTATTTTTAAAACATTATAATTAAAAAAATTGTATCAAGATTTAGATTTAGCTAGATGATTTTTTGTATGATATTATTAACCTCATTTTTATGAGATTGATACAACTTTCTCTCTATTAGAATTCATTCTTAATATAGGAGCTATTTTATAGGTTTCTTCAACAAGCTCTCTTTGTTATTAGGTTATGGTTATGCAAAATCCAAATTTAAATCCAACAATTTCCCTTAGTTCACCATGAACTTAGATTGATTCCTAAATCGTCTAAATGAAGATAAGTTGGTCACAATCAGGTCATCAAAAACCTCAAATCAAGCTAAACTCTCTTATAGGACCCAAGGTACTCCAAAGTCTTTGGGTTCATCCTAGAAGCCTTGAGGCCATTCCTTGACTTGCACCTGTGTTAATATGACTTTGTTAAATCTGATGTACAGACGACGAAGCGACATGGTGTGATCAGTTCCTTCATCAGGACATAACATTTTCTCCAATCAAAGAGAGCTTTCGACATAACTGTTAGTTTTCTTCCCTTCAATTTGTCATATTTTAGATGAATTAAACATTGAATGCATGTAAAAAAAAAACATTATATTTATTTTAAACCTATTGTTCAATATAATGTGTTTATATTACACTATTTTTTTTTTGTAAATTCAATTAAATTTTAATCTATTCTTCTATAATTTATATTAAAATATTTTGTCTTGGTTTTTCGTTAAAAAATGCATTTGATCAAATATATATTATTGATTATTATTTTTACATTGACTAGTTTATATCAAGTCATTGTATTTGTTTTGGCTGAAGTTTTTTTTTTAATATTCGATTTTGTCTCATTTAAGTAATTAAGTAATCAACAACTAATAAATGAAATGATTTATAAATGAGATGACTCAAATTTTTTATCATATCTTAGTGTTAGGTCAAGGCCTTTGGCACTTAAGATAAAAGAAAAAATAAAAAATGGAAAATTCCAAAAACACAACTCAGCCCGAGTAAAGAGATTATCTCTGTATATTCTGAATGAGTCACAAGGTTGAGCTAGTCATTAATTAAACCTCTTAAATGCTAATTCACATTTATGAATGCAGCTAATCCTAAGCATATAGTCAAAAAATGTCCCTTAAGGATATATAAACCATATGAATATTGAATAGGGGTGTAAGACTCGTTTATATTTCGAGCTCAAAAAGTGTGTTCGTGTTCGGCTCGTTTGCTTAACGAGTCGAACCGAACACAAGCTGTTCACGAACAAATAGTTCTTTTAACTACCCTAATCATGTAGCCATAAAACAATAAGAGTTTGAACAAGATTTAAAAATTATTATTCTATTTTCTTAATCAATATTTTAATTGATTATAAATCTTTGTAGCCTTGTAGTCAATTAGATTTTTTAAAAATACTACTATATATATATATATATATATATAAGTTTATTTACCTTAATTTTATTTAAAAGAATTCCTGTTCTAAAACATTAACTTATCAAACAAAATAAACGAGCCGAACACGAGCTTCTTAACGAGCCGAACATGAGCTGTTCGCAAACTGAGCCATTTTGACAACCCTAATATTGACCTGCCTCAAAGAATAAACTGCTTCATTTGGATAATAATTATTGAATCATAATCTCTTTTGGAGTTAACCGTACGAAATTAAAATACAAGCATTCTTTCATATCAGAAGTGTCTTCAAATGTAGTTGATGTAGCAACATGTAATTAAGAAAGGATGAACCGAGTATTGCTAGTGTTGACCTTTGTTATTATCTTACGATCAGATTTGTTATTCATATTTTTGCTCGGCAATCTTCTTAGGTTGGGATAAGGTTGATTAATTTCAAAGCAATCCCTATGTATTATTATAATAACAAAGGTCAATATCAAATCACTTGCTCCACACAATCATTTGAGACATACCACATAGCTATCTATGTTGGTGACATAACTACATCTAATCAATAAATAGAGACATAGTATTATGTTAATATAGTTATGACAACAGAATAAGATCCAGATATACCTTTTCTAAACAGTGTTTAAAGTCCAATGTAATTAAGCAGCATAATGGTGCAAAATATTTTATAAATACTCGTACGCTACACATTATTTATACACTATTATTTTATGGGCAAATTTATAAAATTCGTGCTACTATTTAGAGAACTATAACCTCTAAAAAAATTTCGAGATGCCTCTCTTATAACATTTATTGATGAAGTAGAAAAATAAAAGGAAAAACCAATGTTTTTTTTTATTAGAGTTGATATCATCTTATTTTCTCAAGATATTTCACTTAAATTTCTCTCAGCTCTCTTTAATTTGTCTAATTTTAGAAGCCAAATAACATTATAACACGTGGGCCATTGAAATGGTGGGTGACAAAAAGGATAACATATAAACATTTTATTTTCATGAATACATGATATAAATCATTCGTTCAAAGTTATTATATGTAATTGATTGTATATTCAGACGACAGACTTAATATAATCACATATCTAGATGACGATATTAATAAAGAAAATTCCTGTCCAGACTCCAGATGTAGCTCTATGTGTGGACTCCAATAATATGCCATCACGTGTGCTACATCGTGAAGATTAATTAAGGAATATTGAAGTTGAACCATGAATGTTATTTCATGTTTATTGAAGAGAAACTCATATATTTAACTTCAATAATTTTAAAATAATCCAGAAATTACTTCAAAATAAACTCTGCGGCTTTACTTCAATACCCTAAAATAACACTGCAAATATTATTTCAAAATTATTGAATTAGAATATATGAATTTATTTTTAATAATTCTGAAATAACATTTTCAGTATTATTTCAATGCTATTGAAGTAAAGCCGCAGAGTTTATTTCGATGTTATTTCGAATTATAGAGGAGTTCGTAGTTACACTTTAATAGTTTTTTAGATGAGCTCAATATAGAACACATGAATGTATATTACTGAGTCTGCACTCAAAACTACACCCAGAGTTTGAACAGAAAAATTTTCCGTTGACATGCATTCAATCAAGGGGTTGAGGGCTGAGGCCTTGGGTTCTGAGTAATTCCACCAGTTTCAGCCGCTCGTCCGTTTCCTTTATAGTTCCTCGGGACATTTCCCAAAACGCCCTTCCCTCGCTCCCAAATCTCCGCTTCACCGCCATTTCCTCCACCGCTGCATTCGCCATGGTGGAGGACGAGCATCCTAGCGGGCCGGCGCATGTAAAAGGGGTTTCCCTCGTTCTCCATCCTCATTAATTCCCATCCGTTAGGGGCTAGGGTTTTTGGAGGCCTTGCAGAGCCACTCCACACTGGTTTATACAGAAAAAAGAGCTTGTTTTTTGTTGGTTTTTTTCTCCGGCTTTGTGGCAACTCGATCCGATCGGACATGTCCGACGACATCGTCATGCATTTAGCATCGAACTCGAACTCCTCGGACCCGACGCTTCCATCTAAACTTGCAAAATTGGAGGCCCGGATGGCCGGCAAGAGCTCTTCTTCACCATTGATGCAGCCGGGGTGGCAGCCAGCTTCTACGGCGAAATACGGTGGCGCAGTGGACTTCCAGGCTTCGTCGTTATCAAGTGATTCAGACGATGATGTCAGTTAGTTATTTGTTTATTTGGTTATTTGTTTTGAATTGTGCGATAGACGAGTAGTATCATGTTCTGGATGTTCTATCTTGATTCCGTGCTGATATTGAGATGAGCGATTTTAATTCTCTGCTTCCAATTAAAACCTGAAATGGTAGTCGTTTTAGGAGTATTGCGAGTCGGGGCTGATGTGGAATTATTGCTCATATCTGAAGCTATGATTTTATGAGAATGGAGTTACATTTCCTCCGTAAGGGGTTAAATCCTTGCAGCTGGAACTGATCAATTAGTTTGTTCTTGTCGTGAGTGAATATATTTCCATTTATCGAGGCAAAAGTAATGTAGATTACCTTGCGATTAGTTGAGCTGGGATGCCTTGCTAATATTGGATGTGCTTATTTGTACAGAGTGGTGGAGCTTACTTGATACAAAGAAACTTTCAAAAGCGGCAAAGAACTTTAGATGATGAACATGCATTAGTTTGTTCTGAGGTTAGTTGATTATGATATTATGCCTGTAAACTTCTTAACAATGCTCGGTTCTACAATGTATTTATGTGTTGGGACATCTGAATTATGGTCATTTTTTGGCTTTGAAGATAGGGAAATTCATATTAAATGTTCAGCATGCTTTGTCGATGCACCTTATCAGAAAGTGTCGTTTATTTTTGGTTTCAATGCACTATTTCCTGCTTCTATTATTTCTCTCTTACATTTTTTCTTCTAGTCCAGTGGTAAGAAGAATCCTACATCTTTTTTGTTGTTCAAAAACCTTTTGGTAATTGAGAAGGCATCCCTCTGATGTATTATTTGGGAGATGGGGGTGATAGTTTGTTCTTGAGGGAGGTCTTGAATGAAGAAGTAGAATAATTTCACACTATTTCTCTTGAAATTCTTTATTTTTATTGATAAAAACTTATCCTATATTTTTTTTGTTGTTCAAAAACCTTATGTTAATTGGAAAGGCTTCTCTTTTTTACCTTTTGCGGGAAATGAAGATGAGAATTTTCTCCCGAGGGAGTCCTTGAATGAAGAAGGGGAACTTTATGTGCGAGTGGGTAATTTCAATCTGAGTAATTTTGCTTGCCATATTTCATCAAGTTTTTCCGATTGGGTGGAACTTTATTAGAATATATATAGCAAAGATAATGATTTAATCTAAGAGGGATCATCACTATAGGGAATGGAAAGGAAGACAATAAGTCTCTATATCATAATTGCCTTTCTATGGATTGCAAAAGAGATAACTGGTGGCATTATAACATTATAATCTGCTCTTTATTGAAATGCTTGTTGCTAGAAGTGGAGCTTACCTAGTCTTATATTATCATTGATTTTGAAAGGCCCTCTTCACAATAGTTTTGATTGCCTAGTCCTTTGGATTTTTTTTTTATGGCTTATGAGTGTGTGGGAGGGGCTTGAGAAGGTTGCTGATATATTGGACAAAGGCAAGCAAAAGCTCTGCCCGAGGAGGGAGGTACACTATATTTTCTTTTTTCATCCTTCTATATGTATTTATGATATGCATTTGCTATGAAAATTATTAGGGAGCAATGGATGGAAAGATAAAAGTTACCGAAGCAACTGAAGTTAGAAGCACCTTTGATGATGACTCTAAGAAGAGGAGGCAAGGTCGGGGTCGAGGTCGCTCTACCACAGGCAGGAGACATGGTTCCAAGGCTTGTGATCAAACACGGTCTATGTCTTCATCATCCATGCCACTGTCCAATGGCCATATTGAGATGGCAGCACAAAAGGTGTTTATAATATTAATATTAATGCAATTCTTATTCTTTAAAATGTAAAGTTTATTTTGGTAGTTGCCATCAAGAGCACTGATTTTAGTGTTTTCATACCCTGAATAAGCAATTTATTGGAGCATCATCGTTTATGTTTCATTCTGGTTTCTCTAAAATGCAGCCTACCCTTCCAACCGACAACCCTAGATTTTATATTTTGTATGCAGCCTACCCTTTCTTGTACATTCATTTTGTCATAACTCTTTATTTTTTGGCAAAATTGTAATGCTGAATGCCACAGCTTTGTGATTGAAATGCACATTTTTGAGAACCCTACAGATCTATTAATAAGCCGAGCCATGCGTTTAACCATCTCAGATTAATTCCTTGATGAAATTTGGAAGGCATTTAGCATGGTTGCTTGATGATTTAGTGAGTTGTCTTGCAAAACCATTGATTATTGTTCTTTTCTGTTAACCGTTCGCATGATTGATTATTTTCAGTAGGACCTATATTTTTATTGAAGTTCTATTTGATTATTTGGGGGCTACGTATTTACGGAACCAACTGATTTTATTATTTTTATGTAAATGTTAGTGTAATTAAGGATAATGATTATCAGTCATATCTGGCTGTGTAAATGCATAGAAGATCTTTATGTGGTTTTTATTGTTCTTGAGAAGATATATAATTGAGTAACACGAGAATTGCCTTGGCATACATCAACAAAAAAGTGTGTCATAGCTATGAATTTATTTAAAATATATATGATGAAGTACTGACCAATATTAGAAGTAGCCGTGGAATGACTTCTGCTTTTCTTTTTTTTTTTCAATTGTCATAGGATTGTATAAACAATCAATGTTAAGTCTTTTTCTAATTGGGTATGTGGATTATTTTAAAGGATTTGCCAAGATGTCATATTTCTAATCAATGTGTCTTCTATTTAAAAATGTAAAAAGGTTGAACAATTAACAAAATTCTTAAAAGATAGAAGACTTATAGTTAGTGGACTAAAAATGGAGGTATGAGTTGCATATTCGTGGGTGCAATATAAAAAATTATCAATGAATTTTCTTAAAAAAAGTTATCTTGGTGTGACATTTTTAGGTATATTGAATCTTTTATATGGAATAATGTGATTTAGATTATCATATAACTTTTAGAGTTAGGATTCAACAATTAAAATAGAAAATGCTTAAGAGTATCATGCGATAAGAGAATGTCATTGAGGCTTAGTAAATTTATAGAACTACAACTAGGTCAACACTAATATATGGATCCTAGTCAACACTAATATATGGATCCTAGTTTTTTGACTAAAAGGTTGTTGACGGCAAAGTCGAGATTCATAAAAATGAGAATGTGAATTTGAACGTGTGACAAAGTTAAAAATGCTAAGTTAAGGATTGTTTGATTTGTGGAGTGACTGTAATGATATGTATTGAAAATCAGGTTATTGGAATTGGATGGTTCTAGCATGTGTAATGAATTGTCGAAAATGCATCAGTTAGATGGGCATCTAAATGTAATGTGGGTGGATTGAGAAAAGGTGTAGAACTAGGGTAATAATGATATAATTGTTCAAAATGGCTTAAAAAATATGTTTAAACTGTCAGACAACCTCAAGAGGAATAATTCAAAGTCATGGATTTATGATTCCAGTCATAGATAGTAATAGGATAATATTAATGATGACTAAACTACCTTTTCTGTGTAGTTTTTACAAAGTGTTATTTTTTTTCTTCCATGATTATTTATTTTAGACTATGGTAAATGGATTGAAGCATGTGTATCATCAGAATTTAGTTGTAAGGATAATTGGAAGAATTAGTTTCTCGATCTAATCAATATTTGTTTGGAAAAAAGTTTTATTTATTATATGCATCTGATTGTAACCATAATTGTAGGTTTATTGATGGACTTCATTCTATCAATGGAAAGCCTTTATCATGATAAAACGGAGGGCATCGTTCGCAATGAATGAAGAAATCAATAAATTAAAAAAGTTAGAAGCCAATATTGAGAGGGTTCTTCTTTTGGGAAGCGATGTTCATATTCATCTTGTGACCCATGCTAAAGTGATTGAATTGGTGCGACCTAGCTTGCATATCGAATTTCTAATCATTGTAAATTTTGGCAGATTAATTTGTTTTTGCATATCGAAGTTCTATTCATATCAAAATGTGTTGATATTACTTATATTCAAGTCATTAAAGATATGTATACTAGAGCTGTTACTTGTGTTTGAACTGAATGAGGATTGGCCAAGTATTTTTTTATTTTAGCTGGATTATATAAGGGATTGACTTTAAGCCTTTATTTTTTTCTTTTAGTTATGGATGCTCTTACTGGATATTTACAATTGAATGTACCTTGGTTTTTACTGTCTGATGATATCATTCTTGTGGATACGAGTAGAGAAAAAGTCCAGAAAAAACTTGAATTATGAAGGTGTACATTGGAGTCTAAAGCCCTTCGTTTGAGTAGATCTAAAACTGAATACATGGTATGTAATTTTAGTAGTAGTAGCTCTAGTGTCAGAGCTGTAGCTATGGGTGTTCAAATCATTAAAATATGTTAACTTTTTAGATATCTTAGGTTTATTGTTTAAAGTGTCGGTGATATAGATAGGGATATTAGTAGTAGAATTCAGGTTGGTTGATTGAAGTGGAGGAATGAATTGAGCCTATTGTGTGATAGAAAAGTATCGCTTAGACTTAAAAGAAAATTTTATAAGATGGTGGTGAGACCTGCAATGCTTTATGGTGCAGAATGTTGGCTATTAAAAGAGAAGCATAAAAAAAAGTTAAGTGTTGCTGAGATGAGAATGCTTAAGCGGATAAGTAGCTTGACACTTAAAGACAAAATGCGAAGCGAATCTATCTGTGGTGTTTGTGTAGCTTCAGTGGCAGACAAGATTAGGAAGAGTCGTCTTAGATGGTTTGTTCACATTAAACGTCGATCTTCTAAGGATCCGGTTAGGAGAGTAGATGTTTTAAATTCGACTTATGTTAAGAAAGTTAGAAGTAGACCTAAAAAGACTTGGGCATATTACATAAAAAAATGATCTTAATCTATTAAAATTAAATGAAAATTTGACACTCAAAGGACATAATGGAGAAAAAAAGATTCATAGCCGACCCCACATAGTGAGATAAAGGCTTGTTGTTGTTTTTGTTGTTGTTGTAATTTGTTTTTGCGTGTTTTTGCTATTGATTCTTGTTCATTTGTGCGTTAGTTATCTCCCCCACTCCCTTTGTCTCTCTACCATCCTCCCACAATACAAACTCTTTCAAAGACTGTTATGGATCAATCAAAAACAAAATATTTTGTGCACTATTTATCGTCGTGCTTTTTTTTTTTGGGATGGGAGAGTAACTTAAGAGGGCAGCCTGAAATTAATGAGAAACCTATTTTGCAGGTATGCACTATATCTGTGTTTTTTCTGCTTGCATAATACATTCTACGGTATAAATTGCTTTTGTTGTTCATTCGTTATTATATAGATATTAATGAGTTTTTTCCCTCTTAATTTTTTACCTTGACTAGTTCACGAGTCGCTTAACAAGTTGTAAATGTAATCATCATTCATGTCCTTTAACGAGGTAAATAGATGGAATAATTCTTTTTGTTACGCATTGGAGTTATTGATATGTAATGAAGTTTGTGCTTCTGTATGATTTGTAGAAGGCTCAAGTTCTTTTCTATTTGCCCATATTGCTAAATAATTTCTTTAGTTGATAATTTTGTGATAGCGTGCTATTGCACACACCTTCTGCTTTTCCGTGTGCGATATGCATGAACACTATTTTCTCTGAAAGAAATTTACCAAGAATTTATTTAAATGAGCATGTAGTTCACCGTAGATTTGCAGATATCCATTATAGTAATTTTTCTTCTTATTCCTTGTTTTGGGTTTATAAAGTGCCCTTTTCCCCCATCTTGCTATTTCTTGTTTAACTTTTCCGAATCATGAATTTAGGAGGAAATTCATTTATTACGAAGTAGAATTGCCTCATTGGAGGAGGAACTTGGAAAATGCCGCCAAGAAGCAACTGATAGTCAGCAGCTTTGCCACAAATTAGAAAAGGTGGAATATTACTTAATGCAATTCTATTCTATCATGACTACTATATTATAACTATGATTCACTTATTATTACTTTTTTACTTGCTTAGGAATTGAAGGACTTAAAAGAGCACGAACAACAGAGTACAATGAAGGTTACAGTTCATTGTTATGTACCACATGTTTAGCAACTTTTTTGTTTTATCATATTTTTTTGATTAGAAGTATATTTATGTCTGAAACATCATTTGATATAACCTATAATCTCTTATATTTTATTTTTTGTTAAAAAAATTTAAATATTTCTATGGAAAATTAGACCATGAGAAAGTGGAAATTGTGGAAAAAATATTTTTTCTACCCGAGTGAAGAAAGGAATCTGCCATTCATCACTTAATTGTGCATTGTAGATGTGTGCCATTTAGGAAGATTGATTTATATCATGCACCAATAGATGTGTGCCATCTAGGATGTTGATTTTCTAGTTCCGCCTTTTATGGAGGGCCAAACAATGCTCAAATTATATGGAAAAATTAAGTTATTTATTCAGGCTACTTTAGTGAAGCGCCCATGCTAAAATGGACACAATTTTAATTTGTGGGCCATGGATGTAATAGTAAGCAAGTACAACGGCATGCTTATTCTCAAATGCATAAACAAGATGACACACATCTAGGGTTATTAGACAGCCTGGGAAGATTTCTAGGAGAAATTTGTCTGTGTTCCTATGTTTCAGGCAGAGTCTAGGAAGATCAGACCACAAACATGCAGCCTATTTCCAGCTTTCTTGTTTCTTGAATACTTTTATGTCTTCACACGCTTATTGAATAATCCGTAGAAAGAAAATCCATACATAGTATATTGTTCATATGTATATTTGTACCTTTTGATATGTTTTGTTGAAGGAAAGGTTCTGAATATTGTTAATGATTTAGAAGTTTCTATCTACTACCAGCACTTTATTAAGCTCTTCATTTCAGCCGTGACTACACTTTGAAACAGGGGGTACTGTACTCTTATAAGTGATATAGGTTATGGCAAGTATTGTTTTGCGAAAGTTTGGTCTGACCAGCACTCTAGATAAACATGCGATTTTTGTTGGAGTTGTTTTTAAGAGCTAGATATAAATCTATCAATAATGTGATTGTGCAGGTCAATCAATCAAGCTTTTTGTTTTTTAAATGAGCTGGGTCACGAGCTAATTAGTATAGTTAGGGCTGGCTTGAGATTGGCTTGTTAGCTCATCGAGCTCAGTTTATGAGCCATTTATCGTGCCGAGTCCGAGCTGGCTCACGAATCGACTTGGCTCACTTACACCACTAATCTTCACGCCCCATATTTATATGCAAAGTCTAAGTAGCACTCATTAGCATAATGACCAGTTCAATGGCATTTTTAACCTGCCTTTGTTGAATGTTAAACACAAGCAGAAACAATTAGTTTTTCTTAGCTATTCTTGCTGATTGTAGCCTTACAAAGCTTAGATGCAGTGGGTGTAGGATATCTAACTTGATGTTTTTGACAAAAAGATGCACTACTATAATTGAACATGGCTACCCTTGTGGTCCAAGGATATTTAAATAATTCTTTTATTTCTGGTACAAGTTGAAAAGCATATCAAGTGATATGTGGTGAGGTGTCATGTTAAACATGATCCAAACAAGAGTGTTTTTGGGTTCTTTAGTGATTAGAAAGTGCTTATAATTCTTCAGTTTTGTTCATATATTCAACAATAATTTTAATTACTTTTTAGCTAATTTAATATCATTATATGACAAAAAAGTTTTATTCTTTTTAAAAGTTATTTCATTTCCACCCATCATTTTATGTTCTCTTCTTGACCTCTCTCATGTCTCTTTCTACACTCATTAGTTAGATTTTAGCTTGGCTAGTTAATTTCTTGTATGTAATGTTATGCATTTATTAAACATAGTTGGTTATCCAAAGAAATTATTAAAAACTTTAGGATTAATTTTATCATCATAGGTAAGCACTTTAACCTCTGTAGTTGACTCTACATTATTCATTTATGATTTTTGTTGACATCATTTGTTAAATTCCCTGAATTGTTTATCAAGACGATTTTCCTATCCACGAACATACAAATGAATTATTAGTTCTTCATTGCGATTGGAAATGACTTTAGGTCCATGTGCATGAATTTGATAGGTTTCCAAATGTTTTAGCTAGATGAATTTCATCACATATTTGGTTATGTTTGTTCAACAATTTGTCCATTGATTTTGCAAGTTGCCAAAATTTCATCTCTTTCATGATCTGTTTAGTTATGCTGTTGATTGGCTTTGCTGTTAAGTAACGTTATCCTTAATTTTTAATACCAATTTAATGCATGACCACTTAGGGCTGTCTTTCCTAATAAAACTAGAATGATGTATTTATGCTTTTATGCTAGGGTGGATTTACAAATTACTAGTTTCCGATCTAATGAACAACCCACCTTTTTAATGCCAGAAAGCAATAGTGAGCTTTATGAGCAGCTTATAGTAAAATGATTGTAAATATTTGATAATTTAGCATGATTTTGAAAACAAATACAATGAACAATCAAATATTTTAAATTTCCCAAAAGCATATTTATGATGTATTTAATTTCTGAAAAAATTCAAGAATACTATACTAGCCATTAATGAATTATGTAGGAAGAAATATACTAGATATGAAATTACTCAAGTGGGGAAAGATCAAGCCTCACTGGTACTGAGAAATGACTTACCTTAAAATTTGGTATCTGCATTTGTGCTATACTCCTAAAAATCATGCTTCCAACTTGCACCTACAAGTTTGAAAATTAGAAATAAAATTTATTGAAGCCCCATTCTTTGATTACATCTCAAATTACTATTTATACTATTTATAACTCTTCATAACATAACCTTAAAGATTAGATTGGCACAATATTAATATCATTTTATGTTTAGATCTATCAAAATTTCACCTTGAAATTCCTTAAAACAACTGCTTCGGAAATTTTTAAAAAAAATCACAAAGCATTCAAGAGTTTCCATCCTAAGCTATAGGTCCTACATATTCTGACACATGCAGGTTCTGCCCCGCATATGGGTGCAAAGAACTGGATAAGTTAAAGCAGGAATAATTGCAAATCTTGCTTCATATAAAGCACAAAGAGAACTCAGAAACGTAAATGTTGCACATCCAACCGTATGTAGGATCCACAAGCTCCTTTTTTTAACCATTTTTTTAACTAGATGCTAACTATCACCTCATCAAGGAAGCTATCTTGTGTCCAAAAAGATTGCTTCATAATTAGTGCATTTGACTAATAGAAAAGCTGAGTCTTGAATTTTGCTTGTCTAGCAATAGGGATCATACCTGTTTTGCTGACAATATTACATTATTAATCACAAGCGAAGGAATTTGATGTTTATATGTTAAAATCATCCAAATCTTCATGTAATATAACGCCTGTTGAATATCCAGACCTTTTTAATATTCTTCTTAGGTTTCTATTTCATTGGTGTTTATGCAAGTACATTAATCCATGTGAAGTGACTTTATTGGGCAAGATAATTTTTGACATGATGTATGATATGGATTCAATTCCTCTAACGACTTGTACTGTAAGATTAGTATATATATATAAAGTTGCTTTGAAACTAAATTTATCTTCTCTATTAATTTGTTTGTTTGCTTGATTCATATATTACATGCAACATTTTTAATTGTTAGATTTGCCACTCATCATATAATATATGGAAGGGCAGTACGTAATTTAATATTTTATTATGCTTTAATGTTTTCATTTGAGGTAGCACATGTCTCGTAGAATTCCAATTAATATCTGTCATTATTCTAATGCAGCGAGTAAAGGTTCTTTCTGATTTGCTGATATCTATAGCTAAAGCCGAGAGACAAGAAGCAAGAATGAAAATAAGGCAAGAATCATTGAGGCTTGGCAATGTTAGTATTATCAGGTAGGTTCTTCATATCACATTTTTAGCTGATTTCTCACCCCTTGCACTATGAGAAGCAATTAAAGTGGCCTATTGATAGTTGAACTCAGTTTACTTTAGTAAAGCTATGATTATGCATGTAGGTGTACTTTTCATCTGAAATTCAGTGTAGCATCTAGCTTATACTTCTTGGTATGTCCCTATCTTACACTATACATCAGATTATTGGAATATGAGCATGCGTTGAATATGTTATCTATACCATTATAGTGACGTAGCTTTTGCTGAAGAATTTTGGTTTAATCATCTATTTGAAATTCGGTTCAACAATTTTGTGTTTTTCATCTGGTAATATTTACATAACTAGATGAGCTAGCCATATATAAATATAAATATCCTACCTCCAACATTTAAGGCTCGAGACATGCTAATAAATATGTTTTCTTCTGATCCATTACTAATTAATATCCAGTATGCCAAAGATAGATCTACCAGAATAATTTTCTTAACTTATATTATAACAACTATTAGCAGTGCACTTGTGAATAAATCATCCATTAATCAAGATGAAAGGCGCACAAGCAAAATGCTGTTGCTTTAGTTCTTGCCATATTCAAAATGTTTTTATATCAGTAACACTTTAAATTACTGATGAAAGGGATCGATCAATCAATGACATATTGACAACCTAAATTTCGAATGTTGAGTAAATAGGCTCATATATGATGACATTCTCATGCATACTCTTTCGAGTGGTTTTCTCTGAAAAGAAAATACCCCCTAAAAACATGTGTAGGATGGACACCATCTTGTTTTATTGCTTGCTTATCATTGAAGAGAACTGTTAACTGATCTGGCTTCATTTTTTGCATCAGCAAAATTGTATTGTCAAACATCTCCATTACTCTATAATAAATATAAATGCAAATTTTTTGCTCCAAGAGAGAAACTACAAGTTCTCAAACTTTCAACTCATGGATTGAGTCAATTGCAGCTCACTAATGGAGCATTGCTTTCATCCATGATGTGAAATCCTATCTTCTTATGGCTTCTTAATACATCATGAACTCATGGCTACTTAATACATCATGAAGATAATTCATTGTTATCCCATGTTTTTTTTTGTCTATACATTTTTTTTTGTAAATATACTTTAGATAATAAGAAATATTATATTCTTTGGTCCATTGTATTACACACATACTCATGCGTTACAGCATGCTTGAATTATAATTTATGCTGAGTTGGTCACTGAAGGAATGGATCTTCGTGGACTTTAACTCCTTGATTTGTTGATAAGAAAATAATTGAGGTAAAGGAAGAACTTTAAATGTAAATTGAAGAATTTTTGCATGATTAAAGGAAAGGATGCCTCAAACGAAGGAATATAGAAGCTAGAGATTGGGAAAGAAATGTCCATAGTTGGAGAAAGTGGGTGCTTAAGGGAAAGTTATCTTTTTATTCTAGAACCAACCACTGTAATTACACTCGAAGACCTTCTAGTTTAATAGAAGTCACAAATTATTTTATCATCTTATCTCTAATAGAAATGAAAAAATGTTATATATGCAATGACAAATGACTATTTTACCCTAAAATATGTATAAAAAATAATTAATCAGGATGATGATAGTAACATGAAAAAAAAAGAAATTAACTGATTGACAGATAAAAAACTAGTGGTTGGCATTTAAAAGTTGATTTCTTTATTACTGCAATTCATCTAATTTGAAGTATTTTAATCTAAAGAGTTAAAATAGTGAGAGGAAGATTTGGAAGTCTTTCTAACTTAATGACTTAGCAATATCAATCTTGTAGAAAATCAATGCCTGAAAAGGAGAAAATTAGGAAATCTTGTTGAAGATGTGATAAATGAGGAATTCATCATGGGGTAGAAGAGATGAATGGGAAGAATTAGAACATGCTCAAAAGTATTGGCAAAAGATTTTTGCAATAGACATTTAAGAACATCATCTCTTGAAAGTTATTTTCTCAAAATTTGAAGATCTTAATAAATAATAATAGATGATTTGAATTGATCATAACATTTTGCGAAATTAGTCAAAAGAAATTGAATTTGGTTTTATTTATTTGAGTTTGTGATTGTATTAGGTTGAGTTGATATTTTGGGTTGTATATTTTAGATTTGTCAAGAAAGAAAGAGGCAGGCCTAGGAAAACTTGGGCGTATTGTATAAAAAATGATCTTAATTTATTAGAATTAAATGAAAATATGACACTAAATAGGACGCAATGGAGAAAAAGGATTCATGTAGCCGACCCCACTTAGTGGGATTAAGGTTTTGTTGTTGTTGTTGATGTGTTGATATTTTAGATTTGACAGTTTGGTTAGGGCTGAATAGTGGGTTGGGTTGATTGACAATTGATTGGGTTCTTATTCAGGTTGAGCTAATTCCAGTTGGTTTAGATTATCTTGTTTTAGGGAAATAGATTGAGTTGAGTTCGAGAATCAACTAGTAAATGCTTTTTTAAAACTAAAGAGTTTTATTTATAGGAGTTGAAGCTAGGTCCTTGCTATGCATGAGATATGAGAGGAAAGAATGAGTATTATGCATGCAAAAGGGAGATGACAGGTTGGAGCTGGGATTCGAGCAAGGTTGATAAGCAAAATTTTTGAAGAGTGAACTAAATTTACCCTTTTTATGGCCAAAATTTATTTTCTTTAGTAGAATGATAACAAAATCCAGAAAATTTTATGTTAGTATCTACTAATGTCTCTTGCGATTGGCCTTCACAATCCAGTCATATAGCAGTTGGAATAATTGTTTTGTACTTGAATATAACAAAAAGTTTATCTATGCCATTGCATCCTATCTTGAAAAGAAAGAACATTATCTTTCAAATTTTCCTGGCTACCCTCTCGGAAATGAATTTCCTTTCATGAATAGACAAGAATCACTTGCTCTCAAATATCTTTTGTTTTAACAATAGACTAATATCCATTGGAGAAGGAATGTCCTGAATTTTTTTTTGAGAGTAAAGAGATATTTTTGAGCATTTAACTTGAAAGTGGGTGGCTAGTTTGGAATTGTGGTAAATTGTTTATTGTTCAAGAAGAGGAAATTAAAGTAAATTTGTGGTGTTATTTTAATGAGGTGGAGGGGAATAGACAAAGGGAGGGGGTTTTAATTTCTGGTACCATAGATATTCCCATGAGGGTGGGGGTGATATGCAATTTCGTTTTTTGATTTAATTAATTTTTTGAGTATAATTATTTGGCTTAAGATATACATGAGCATAATGTGTTTTAAACAAAGTTTGGATTATAATTTGGGCCAGTGTTGCGGAGGAGCTAGTATGTGCTATCCTTTATTTAAGCTGATTTTGGGAGGTTTAGGATTCGTTTATAGTCAAATGGTAAGTGGTTAGTTAATAGAAGGTGACGGTGAGCTTTAGGCAATGATCAGGACATGCTTTAATGCAATATCAAGGTATGCCATAATCAGGAAGTTTGTGCTGATATGATTTTGATCTCTTGAAATCTCAAAATAAAGTTATGCCTAATCTTAGCTGCTGTTATAATAAAGTTAAGTTTTGATATGATGCCATGATTTATAATTGTTAGCATTCATAATGATTGCTATCAAACTTTAGCTGTACTAATTACACTGTATTCCATTGTTCTTCTAATAGTTCAGCCGCATTCTTCTTCCTCGTTTAGATCTTGATCAATTGACATATAGTTCACAGAATCCTCCGCCACCCTCTTTTTAACAGCTGCTGCGGATGAACCTAATGGATGGCAATGATGCTAAAGCGTACCGAACATCTTTGGAAACCTCCATTGATTGTTGTTACCTTGCTAGCATAGTCTGCTGAATTCACTAACCAATGCGGGCGATCACTTCTCATCTATTTTTTTATTTGTCATAATAAATACAAAGATTTAAGGAATGTGTACCAATAATCAAATCCAGTAATTTAACATTACAAGAGTTGAATATTCAGCAAAATGATTCCCCCCTTAATATTCATGCATATTGTGGAAACACTGTGAATTACAGCTCCTAGATGCTTGGCTCCTGTCTAGCCTATCTTCCTACTACAAACTACATCTCTTGGTGTCTGCCTCCTTGAATGCCCATGCCCTCTTCCAACTACAGCTTACTGTCCTTACATTTGTTTCTTGCCACCTCATCTTTTTATAGACAATGTCACCTCACAATATCATGGGCTGTTCTAAATCCTAATTAGAATTAATTATATAATTTATTTTTTTCTAAATTATATATATTTTATATTAGAGATTCTCTTTGATTTGTTTAAATTCAATACAGATAATGAGATGGAACACTCAAACAATTTTCTCCATTTCTTATCATGATATTAGAACTTTAGTATTTTCTCTTCTTACATTTGCATAATCTGTAGACTTCACCATTGTATTGCCAAGATATTGCGGTTTTTATTACTGTGGCCTTCATTGCCACATTCTTGTTCCTATCATTTTCTTTCCTTTGTATCCAATCACTACTACCATTTTCATTATTGTGGATATCAACAATATCCATGTTACTTTGGTCTTAGGTTCTTTTGGAATTGAGATCGACAAACTAAAATTCAATGGGAGAATTACAAAACGTCCAATCAACATATTGTTTGAATGGAAAGAATTATTTCAAGTTATCACAATTGGTTCACACCTTCTTGATAGGAAGGGAAATTTAGATCATTTAGTTGACACCCAATTATGACAAGGAGATCTCATTTTCAATGCTTGGGATGAATAAGACATCTTTGGTGATGTCTTGTTCATGAAATTTTATGGTTCTTGAGATGGAACGCTTGCATGCTCCTCCATTCAACCAAGAAAATGTGGTGTGTAATGAATCGAATGTATTCTAAAAGTCATAATATGACCAAATCTATGAGAACAAAACCAAAATCTCATTCACTAAGCAAGGAGGATCCATCATTTAATATTCCAATTTATTATGAGGTTTTTGGCTGGGGATAAAAAAAATATCAATGTATCAAATAGAACGTGAAAATCATTCTTTAAGGCTTATTTAGAAAGATTTTATATGTGTTTTTCTTAGTGAAGTAAATGTTGATTTGGATGCTTTAGGGTACAAATTCTTAGAAATGAGGATTTATATCTACTAATGAAGTTATTGCCATCATTTAATAGAAGAAGAGAGAAGGGGTGTTATGATTACTGATAGCCCTGTTGATGGTTCGACTTTAGTAACAAAGGCTACAACAAAGTCCGATTCAAAACTCTCCTCCCGTCTCAATTATGTCATGACCATTCATTCTTCGTTATTTTTAAAATCATGTTTTTTTATCATTAAAAAAATAAATTTGAAGAATTTCATTGTGATATTTATGAGTCAGCAAAACACGAATGAGGAATCACAACTCAGTATAAAGAATGTAGAAAAGATTTTATTTGATTATTGATCTTGAAAATTCATATAACCTAGTATTATAAGAATTGATTTGGCATGCTTTTAAGCAAAAAAAAAAAAAAAGTGTAAAATTCATGCTTACATTATTTAAGATGTGTGATAGTGAATTGACTATTATTATTAGTGAAAGAGTAATGTGAGGATTTTGAATTATTATAATTTTACATCAAGGATCAACATTGAGTTCATATATTCCTATATTGATTATATAGATGCTTACAAATGTATGTAAAGTGAGATGGCTCTAGTCATGTTTTTTTGTAGATTATATAGTTTGAATTGCAGAGACTTTTATTGAAATCAATGACAAATCTGTATGATGTAGAAAATGTGTAGAAAATAGTGGCCTTCAGAATAATTTAACAAAAATTAAGTATACAATATGAAATCTTTTAATGAGCATGATGTTAATAATTATAATTTATGTTATTAGAAGAAAATTTAATACGAGTACATTATATACTTAAGTATTGTGGATATGTTATAAAGAAGAAGATTAAAGAGATAGATGAGCATGTAATTTTTAGTTAAGAGCTAGATGATTATAATAAAGAAATGACTCTAAAGTTTTACGTGAAAATAGTATATCACGGAGGCTTAAGAGGTAATTTTATGAAATCATAATTAGAGCAATGATGGCGCATGTTTCCAAATCTTGGATTATAAAAAAATCATTGATATATAAATTGAGTGTGGCAACAATAAGAATTTTAAGATGGATGTGTGATAAAACTAATGGCGATAATTTAAGGATTGATTCTATCATAGGAAATTTTAGGGTAACATCTCTTGAATATAAGGTGACTGAAAATAGATTTAGGCGATTTGAACATGCACAATGATGGTAGAAAATACTTCTATTAGATGAGTCAATAAAATTATTGCCAGAGTATTAACAAGAAAAATGAGTAGATCTAAGATTACATGATTAGAATTTGGTATAAATGATTTGTGAAAAATAGTTAAAACACATTAGACAATATTCGGTAAGAGTGAATGGAAATTAAGGGTTTATAGCACCGACCCCAAGTAGTTGGGATAAGGCAAATGATGATGATGAAGACGAGGCTAACTTAATTTTCGGTGCAATTAAGCAATCCAATGCCACATCAATTTTGGTTATATTCTTCTAAAAATCCTTGCTTTAATCAAATTTACCCTTTTTTACTTTGGGATATTTTTAAGCTAAATCTTCAGGTCTGTAGCCAAAATAGGGGAGATTGACAGTGCTTTTTTTAGTTCAACTAGAATTTCATCTACAAGAAATCAGCGTGGAAGCGCCATTCCATTCCATGTGAATTAAATTTTTTTTTATTCCCCTTTCCGTTTGAACTATCATTTATTACTTGTTATTTAATCAGTGAGATTTATGGCTTTGCATTACGACCCAGTGTCTTTTCTTGATAGAAGGATCCTTAATTTGGATCATTCTTCTACTAAAACTTTGGAAGTTTTCTGTACTTTTCCCTCTTTTTTGAAGGCTTGCTGGTATACAACACATAGTCAAGGATTTTGTAGTGTTTTAATTTCATGACCCCAGGAGGCTTTTCTAAGCCATCAATATAGTGCGCCATGTCTTTCTCTTATGAGGTTCATTACTTGATATTTTTCACCGTGGATATCTTTGTATGTATAAAGTTTGCATTGCATATTAAGATGGCAGTTGATATATCACAATCGGTCTAATCATGGCTTATCTTTTTTGCTTTCTCATGAATCTTTAGAGCTGGGACTGTCATTTCAGAGACTTGGGAAGAGGGTCAAGTGCTGAAGGATATTAATGCTCATCTGGTAAGCTTTTCTATATTGTTTAGTTGCTTTTTTTTAATCTCAAGTAACACTTCAGCAATTTGTGGCTAACATGGAGATGCTATTTTTAATTTAAGCAGTAATTTGAGTGTTGGATAAAATATGTAAGGTTAACTAGCTTTACTAGCTCTTTTTTTTTTTTTTAAATTTTTATCTTTTTTTTTTTTATTGAAGGGTGAACTAGCTTTACTAGTTGGGCCCTAATTTATGACGACTCATTTTTCTTTTTATTCATGGTGTCAAACTTATTTTTTGCAAATCATTTAGAACAAGTTTTATATATATCTCCTTAATTCTACTCCGTGTCCTTTTAATCTTTTGATTTATCTACCCATCTAATGAGTTTATTTGGATGTTTTGTTAACACCCTTAAAGCACCAAAATCAATTTTCATTTATAGCATCTTCTATCGATGCTACTCTAATACTTTATATGATACTTCCGTTTTTTTAATTTGCCATTTATAATTTCACCATGCATTTATCTTAATTCTGTATTGGGTGATAGTTGTTATCCTCTAAAATTGCATTTCATATCTGCATTTTTTGTGTTCTACTAATTGTAAGCTCTCTGTCTTGTAAATAATTCTTCTATTGTTCTCTTTTTTTAATTTATTCATTAGATATGTGACCAAAGAAAAATATGTTGAGATTTTCATACCTATTTTACACTGTTTTTTATGATATTGCACTTTAAAGAAATGTATTTTTTGATGTTTTGTTGTAGGAATGATGAATTAGGGTCATTGGAGCAAAAAGATGCAAAAATGAACGAATTTGAAGCGAAAAGGACCAAAATGTGAAAATTTGAACTAGGGCGCCGACGGCGTGCCCAACGGCGCCGACAGCGAGAATTTCCCGAGACTCCAGATTTAATAATTTAGAAGGCCCGCTGACGGTGCTCTCGAGGCCGCCGACGGCAAGATCGGCGATTACTTTCCAAGGTGCATTGAATGTGGTCGATTTTTTGAGGGATGCTTAGGCAACTCTTAAGAAAACTCATCCATAACTTTAAAAGAAGATTTTGGCCGAAAATGGAAGAGTTCGAGGAGTTGGAAGGTTAGAACAGCGTCCAAGAGTTCCAGTAGTGTGTAGAGTGTTTAATTGTGAGGAATTCTTCGAGAGATTGTAAGAGTAGAGAGAAAGTGAGAGATTTCCTCCTTCTTACCGCTTTAAAGAAGAATTTTGTGTTGTAAAGAAAAGAAGAGATTCAGAGGAACTTCGAGGAGTTTACTTGGAAATGAATTAGAGATAAGTGTTATTTACTTGTAATTTGTATGACTTCGCTTTTATATATGAATTCCGATTTTTGTTGCGTCTTCCCCATGAGTTCTGAGTAGTTTTCTCTGTCTTTCTCATTGTCTTGAGATTTGTGAAATGATGATTTGAATTAGTCGAGCCATGAAAATATTAAAGAAGTTGTGATGACCTTTTCACTTCGATCTTAATTTACTTTCAATCCGACCAATTGATTTGTTAAAATATGTTGAGTTTTACAACTAAAGTGAAGATTACATCCAAGATTCAGGGAGGTCAAACAAAGTCCTTAAAATTTGGGTGTAAATAAATAAAAAAATAAAAATTATCGGGCGTAGAATTGGAGATTTTAGAGCGACAAACTAAAATCCCCAATTCGGTTCTATCGTTTGGCTGCTGAAGTGTAAATGTTAGCCCTTAGGCGAGGAGAACGTGGGAGCTCCGAAATGAGAGCCGGTATCCTCCCAGCCTAGCCGCAGATTCAGTAAACATGCATAGGATTAGTCAATTTTCTTTATGTCTGAACCAAAGGGTAAAGAATATGTATGCTTTTATTTGACACAATACAATTTGAACTGATTCACTTTACACATTCACTATAATTTTTTGACAAAGAGAAAGATGATTTCTTATATATTGAATATCACATTTAAATCTTCATTACTATAATTAGTTATTTGATAGTTATTAAAATTACATATTTATTTCAATTGTCTATTATACCTATTAGTTATTTGGTATAATCACAACTGGGTCTGTAGCTGTATTATGTTATTCTTCTTCAATTGTTCTTCTTCAAGAACTGCGGTTTTGGAAAGAGGATCGGATTGCATCTTCTCAACATGGATGATGGGTGGCTGATCTTTAGTGATATCCGACCTTAGATGAGAATGCAAACGATATCAAATAGTAGAGCTATGACCAAACATACTATAATGAGAGCAATAAGGAGGGTGTGGTTCAATCTCAACCTTTTGCCAACACCCGTTGTGAGTGATTTCAATCCATATCTCATTCGGAGCTGGTGGAGTGTTATCCCTCTCAAGTAACACACAAGCCACAGAGGGTCTGGTGACAGCAAACGTAGGATTATCATTATCAACCTTGTTACCGTAAGCAGTTGCTAAGGAGTAGAGAATTTCCAAGTTGAACAGATGTAATTTTAACTCCAGAAACTTTATCCAATCCAGAAACTTAACTCCAGAAACTTTATCCAAACTGGAATGATAGGGGACTCTACTTTTGGATCAAAACCAACAGATCACTTCAAAATTTTCATATAACGATTGTCGATCTTGATAAATTTCTGAGAAACAATGTGAGTTTAATCAAAATCGTGAGACAACTAAATCAGTATGTGTCGACTGTCAAGTAAACCAATATTTCAACTGCCCAATAATTTCATAGCATTTCATAGCATCAAATTCATTTCATAGCATCAAATTCTTTTTGAATGATCTCAAGTTTTGGTTGACCATAAAGGAATTTTCCCACAAGATCAAAACGCCACGAAGATGCTAGAGTACTAGTTTCAACCTCTGTGAGAATAAGAGCAGACTTTCCATTTTTTCCCCCAGTTTTTTAATAAATGTGTGATCACCACCACCTTCAAGAGCCTCGTGAAATGATTGTGGAACATTGCTGATTGTGCAAGAGCCTCGTGAAATGATTGTGGAACATTGCATAACTGACCGATTTGAAAACCAGAATCTGAACCTGAAAGAGGAGCACGAGTAAGAATGGGAAAGTCGCCGGCAACTGCAGTGACATAGGAACGCATGGTCGAGGTCATCTGAAGAGATGCTAGGCGAGCTGCAAGGCGAGCAGACCTTCTGTCGGGCAGGGCGACAGAGGCGATTTCGATTTCTGTTGGGCAAGGCGGCAGAGGCGATGTCGATTTCTGTCGGGCAGGGCGAAGGCGTCGTCGAGTACAGAAGACGATGCGAACGTCGAGTGAGGGTGAGGAGGGACGAAGCGCAGGAGTAGTCGGAACGACGAAATGAAGAAACGTGAGACCCTTCTTCGTCGAAGCAGACAATCACAGGGCTTGCGGAATGACAGGAAGACGAAAAATATCGTAGGACCCTTCTTCGTCGGGCACGAGGAAGCCAGTGGAGTGAAGCCGAGAGATTCAAAGGAGGGAATCGCCGTGAGGCGAAACCCTAGCTCGTGATGTGAATGTTGTGTATATATTAAGGCATCACGAGTTCGGTTTCCCTATATATATATATATATATATATATATAAGAAAGTAAGCACACGATCTGCTTTGCTAGGGTTTCCCCCGATGGCGAAACCCTCGGGGCGAAACCCTCGTTTGATTCCTTCGGCTGTGCTCGACGACGATGAAGATGAAGCTCTGCGTTCGTTATCTGCGCCAAACGACGAAGGGCTTCGGCGCTGTTTTGAGCTGCGATTTTCATGTCGCAGTTTCATTTCTGCACTTCTCTGCTCGCCCGACAGACTCCTATTCGCAGAAGGGCTCGCTGCTCGCCCCTTGCCCGCCAAATGGCGCTGTTTTGTGCTGCGGTTTCGTTTCTGCGCCTCTCTGCTCGCCCAACAGACTTCTGTTCACAGAAGGGCTCGCTGCTCGCTTCCTGCCCGCCAGACTCCTGTCTTGTGAGGGAGATGACATTGACGCTCTGTTCCTATGCAAATGCTCTTGCCGACGACTTTCCTGCCCGTGCCCCTCCTCCAGGTTCAGCGCCTAGTTTTGCTATCGGTAAGTCCTGCAATGTTCCAAAATCTTTACATGAGGCTTTTGAAGGTGGAGGTGATCACACTTTTATTAAGAAACTTGAAAAAAAAATGAGAAACCTGCACTTATTTTCACAGATATTGAAATTGGTACTCTCGCGTCCTCTTGGCGTTTTTCTCAAGTGGAGAAATTTTTTTATGGCCACCCAAAACTGGAGATCATTAGGAATGAGTTTGATGCTATGAAACTATTGGACAGTTGGAACATTGACCTACTTGACAGTAGACATATACTTATTCACTATCTCATAATGCCGATTACACTCGCATTTTCTCTCGGAAAGCTATCAAGATTGACAATCGTTTTATGAAAATTCTGAAGTGGAATGTCGGGGTTTCTTTCAACTGTCGGTTTTGATCCAAAAGCGAAGTCCCATATCGTTTCTGTTTGGATAAAGTTTCAGGGGTTAAAATTACATCTGTTCAACATGAAAATCCTCTACATTTTAGCAACTGCTTACGGTAAGCCTCTTAAGGTGAATAGTTCTACGCTTGTTGTCACTAGACCCTTTGTGGCTTGTGTGTTAGTTGAGAAAGATATCACTCAACTAGCTCCGAATGAGATATTAATTGATACTATGCACAACGGGTATTGGCAAAAGGTTAAAATGAAATCACATCATCCTTATTGTTCTCATTGTAGTATGTTTGGCCACAGCTCTACTATTTGCTATCGTTTGCATCCTCATCTAAAACCGAATATCGCTAAAGAACAACCACCTACTATCCATGTTGAGAATATGCAACCCGATCCTCTTCCCAATGCCACAGTTCCTGAAGAAGAACATATTACAACTACAGATCCAGTTGTGCTCATACCACCCACTGTTATTGAAGATGATTCACTTACACGCAAAGACACACGAGAGTGCACCTTTGATCCAATAACAGATCAGCCAGTACATGTAGTTGCTTCTAATGTCCAACAGTCTGCACATCTCCAACACACTTTAGACCAAGATCAGACAA